GGCGGGGGAGCGGGCAAACGGGTATTTGTCCACTGAGCAGGAAGTAATCTGTTTCAATGTGACCACTCGGCCAATAAACAACATACGTCGTACGTTCAAGCGTGCCTACTTACGTTGACGAGTCGCTCGCTCGTGGGACTAGACTAGCTGCCGCGCTAAGCAACGACGTGTGTCTCGCTAAAGATCATACTCCACGTCGTAGCTTTTGTTGCCGCGACGGCTTCACGGTTTTTTTTTTCTCTCCCACCTTTCTTTCTCCTTCCTCGAGAAGCCACAAGCAGCCGTATGTCCGGTGTAGATCGGATCTCGCGAGTTCAAGATACGTGCGAAACTCGACACGCGCCGCTTTCGGTACGAACCGCACATATTGACGATACCCGCGACTCGTGTCTCATTATGTTCCCGTGATCGGGGTGTTCCAGGTGTTCGAGCGACGGCACGACTGTCGTCGCGCAACGACGGACGGTAACGTCGCGAGTTTGCTTTACTATGCCCACCTACTTCACACGCGGAGCCCGTGTGTTCTAACGAGGAAATATGAGAGACGTTGATTGACGTCCGTAAAACTCCGCCGCGGCTGTTGCCGAGAAAATTGGGTCTCGCGCCAGTTCCGTCGCGCGCAAAATTCATTCCCACCAAGTCGTGATCCACCGTCGCACGCGCCGTGTCCGCGATAAAATTCGAAGGTATGCGCGTCACGACTGCCGAGCGTGACGGATTCAGAAGAAAGATACTTTTACGGGAACGTAAAAGGAACGATTTGGAATTTGCCGCAGAGAAAAGCGTTATCGCTAGTCTAACTCGCTGGTTATTTCCCGATAGGAATCGACGGTCGAAAGCGACCATCGGCTAAAAGTTCGGTGACGAGGAATGCTATCTCTGTTATCGTGACCGAGAACAAGGTAACCAGGAACAATTGGCCGGATACAAATCTCCTGCAGGAATTTCTCTCTTCTTCCAACAGAGTTTTCCCAGAGTTGGCCCCGAGACAATTGAAAATCAGTTACACGGACCGGCTTTCTTTTTCCGCGTACCACCACGGGGTGGTAAAAATCTCCGTTCGTGTAAATTGAATAGAGGCCGCACCGAAATTCCGCGGTGAGGAATGATATCTCCGTTCTCCCGTGCGGGTATCGACGGACATTGTTTCTCCCGCGAAGGAATCACGATTTCTCGGACGGTCCACTACTTCCTGGTGCAGAGCCGCACGTGATACCGCGCGTAGGCTGGTGGTGTGGACGGGCACGCGGTTTCGCCGGCTTATTAATTGGCATGCGCAACTCCGCCGTCCAGTGTCCGCGCGCTTATACTCCACTTAAATAATAATTACCTGCTGGAACTATCACGGCGGTGCCGCGACGGGCGCCCACGTAGGCGCCGTTTATGCTTCGTTGCGGGTTCCGTCGGCGTTCCTGCCGCCGTTCTCGCGCAGCCGGTGCGGCCGAGAAAAGAAAGGGTTTCGTATTGCGGAATATGGATCGGCATATACGGTGTCCCGATATTTCCCACATTTCCCTCGGTCGATCCGAAGCGCGAGTCCCGCGGACGAGCGTCGCTTCGATGGGCTTCCCCTTCGTCGCCGGAGCGCTCGAGATCGCGGCTCGAAGACGGACCTGCCGATTCGCGAACGCGACGTGAGAACGGCTAAGCTGAAACAGCCTGTATTATAAGCGCGTGCAACGGATCGAGATTATTAAGCAGCCGGCGGCTGAATGGGATAGAATTGATAGAGAAGTCTAATGAATATCGCGGGACACGCGGTCCCCCGGAGCATCGAGCGGAATGCAACACGGACGACGGTTATGCATGCACGTCGTAAGGCGCGGTGGATTGCAACTTGCAGCTCGGCAATCGGTGAATAAATTGAGTTTGTCGAATTGACAAAAGGTCCGCGTCGAGCGAGAGCGCGCAATTATCGCGCGAGTCTAACGAAATTACTGAATGTAAATTATGATCCGTCGGATTAATCGAGGCGCAGTCCCGCCGCGCGCGGCTTTCAGACGAGCTACGCCGTGCGATCGGAAAGAATTCGACCGAGGAAAGAGAGAACAAGGCGAGTGGCAGCTTATGATCGCTGGATGATTTAGTACGAATGTTTCAATTATGAATAGAGAATAATGATGTTGCGGTAACGCCGAATATTTTTGTCCGCACCCGCATGTGAATCAACCCTTGCGAGTGAGGCTAAAACTAATCTGAATTGTAATTATATACAATTTGATATTTCCTTCGCATGGGTAGACGTTTATTCGTATCGAGACAATTGTAACGAGTATTAAATTCATAATATTGGGAATGTCGGGATTTATTATTTCGGGAAATATTTACTACGGACAGAAAAGTCTGCAACTAAAACTACTCGATTGTTATCTGTAAGGAAAAGGAATATTACATAATTCTGAGAAATACCTTCTCACATATAGAACTATTTTACACTTAGTACATCCAGTAATTAATTTACTAAGTAAGGTATTACTGTATTCAAGTAAGTATTTACCACAAGAACCTGGACCTCCCTATTTGGAAAGAAACTCCTGCCGTGGCCGTTGTGTAGCCTACCGAGGGCTCGATTCTTTTTTCACTTCAACGACAGCTCCTTCGATACCATCGATACCCTCTCGGTGACATCTGGATAGTTCGCAGGCTCGATGACAGTTTCTCTCATTCGGAATTTCGTTCGTTACGGAGCGGCGGCCGGAATCGCCGGTCGCGATCGCGCGCCGCTTCCATTTACATGTATCGCGATCGTCATCGGAGCGGAGAAAAAGAAGGCGAGTGCGGTCGCCTGCGTCGCTACTTAAAGGGACATAGGCGAGTATCGAGTTATCCACCGGTTATCCGCGGTCACTCCGACCGCCGTCTGCACTTCCTGCTCGATCTACCGGTCGCGATCCTCGTCCTCCTCCTCACCGAGACGCGACAGCCGGGCCGTATCTCCACGGTGATTTTTGCAGGTCGATAATCATTTATTTATCGAGCTCCTCGCGGCGATCGGTGGCCTTCCGGTGGTCCTTCCAATTAGGCGTGCGTACGTTCGAGCACGCGGCTCTCATCGCCAGTGCGCGATGAATAAAAATGATTACGCGTCCTTCGAAAGCGGACGGATCGGGAGTCACCCTGGGAAACGTGAAATTTTTAATTCCCAGGTGAAAATCTAAGTGACTCCGCGGGTTACCGGGGAGAAATATCGAGAGCTACGCGGACTCGCGAGCGGGATCAGCGGAGCGTGGAAAAATTCCGCAGACTTTTCTCCGAAGTATCTGCACCGTCCGATTATTCCCGGCCGGCTCGAAAATGGCCCGTCCTGGCGAGGATTTCAATTCGACGAGCACGTCGTCGCGCGGGAACACACGCACCGGCCGCGATCTTTCGATGCGGCGTACAGCTCGGTGGCGAAACTCCGTACGCACTCGCGGACGTATGCGTGAGTGTACGTCGCATCGGAGTCAAGTGGGCCGTCGTGGAATGTCGTCCGAGGAGTTTTCGAGGGCTCCTCGAAGCCGCTGTCAAACCCGAGTACGCCTTCGTGACTGCCACGAGTGCTCCCGCGTGAGCTCTCGGAGCTGTAACACTCGCGCGGAAACCGAACGAACGACGCGCCCCGAGATGGAAAGTCTCGACGTCGGCTCGTGGTCGCGTGTCTCTCACACGGAAAATAATCTTCTCGCTTCCATCTCGCCGCGGAGACTCGAGCCGCCTGGAGATTCGCAGATCGCGGCGAGATCGAGCGACGAATCGGCGAATATAATCGCGAATCATCGCTCGAATACTTCTCGAGGAGAGATACCGCGATAATCCGACGGAGGTCTAACTGGCTTACGGCGACCTCATTGGACGCGATATGCGCTCGCCTCGTGCATCTCGAAGGAAACTGTCGTCCGTCGCTCGTCGTCGCTGTCACTCGTGCTGGATAACGAGCGTGTAACTTTTTTCCTAAGACCGGAGACGTAGAAAGTGACAAGTTTCACGTGAATCGCCGGGGACTTTAACGATCGTGTAACTTTTCGAATCGTGGAAATGTGAAACTTCGCCGCTCGTAAAGGGAAAAGTTCTATGATCGCCGCCCTGATGATGATTCTTTCCCCCCCGGCTTTAAAATCGAAACGTGGATCACACGTCGCCGACTACATTTCTAGCATTCCTCGTTGTCGATTATCATGCGACTTTCAACGAGGTAGAATTCTAGCGCCGACTGTTTTATGAAACTGATCCGAAGGTGCGATCGTTGTTTCTCCGAACCACTCGGAGGCCCCTCATTAACCCGCCGAAGTGCTATTCACAGCGACAATTTTCCGAGAGAGTGAGAGAGAGAGAAAGAGAAAGAGAGAGAGAGAGAGAAAAATCACGTTTCCTGACTAATAAGATTTCATCCGTCGTGGAGTACTTTGTCGAAAGATGCGGCTATGTTGATTTCAAGGATTGTCGATATCGAAAGCGCGCACATCGCGACGAAAGAGAGAGAGACAAGCGTTTATTATATTAGTCGACGATGAATTCATTGCGTCGGACATTTTAATGTTTTTACGATACTGACATCACGCTAAACAAAAAATGAAAGGAAATTCCTGTCACCGATATACCGATTTTTTTATTCCACACATAATTATATAATATGCATGCGTATTAACCATGCATATTAACCATGGTTATTGCGATTTTGCGGAAGTTCTTTGCGTGACAGCGATAAGTGAATTTGATAGAAAAACGTAGATTCACGTACTAACGACGAATACTAAGAGTAGTGATTAAAGATAATTGAATATCATAAATAAATCGAGTAAAAAAATTGATTCTGATGGTTACATAAAAGTCGACACGTATGAATTCATACGTGTACATAATTTAGGGAGAGAGAGAGAGAGAGAGAGTGAAGTCAGTGGGGCTGTTTTTAATGGGTTAATAGCGAGCCCCCTCGTCCCCGTCCCGGGCGTTTCGGGAACTCGCTTAACGATACGTGGAGAGCGCTCTGATGAAAATGTAAATAAAGGCTGTTCTTTCAGAGATAATTTGTACCGGCTGACGCTGACGTCGCTCACGAACCTGGAGCACGCTTCGTGGCCCGCGTCGGAGGACAAGGTCAACACCTGCCAGGATAAGGGCCAGAGCGTCGAGGATTGTCATAATTACGTCAAGGTGCTCGTCAGCAACGGCAAGAGTCTCTTCACCTGCGGCACTTACGCCTTCAGCCCGTGGTGCACGTGGCGAGAGGTACGTCCCGAGGAAGGAATCTGTCCGTGATCTCTCGCGAACTTCAGTCCTCCTCTTTCTCGCGTCGATCCGCACCGATGAGAGATTAGTTGATCTGCCGTCATCAGCCGAAAGTCTCGGTTGTACACGGTGATAATTGTATGCTCGCAGATCGAAAACATAACGAAGGTGACCAGCGAGATGCTCGGCGTGGCCATGTGCCCGTACTCACCACACGCGAACGTCACCGCTCTCTTTTCGAGGGGTCCTTCCGGCGGACTCTTCGCCGGCACGTCCACCGACTTCTCCGGAGCGGATAGAGCGATTTACAGGACACTGGTGTCCCCGAATCTGAGGACCCTGCAGTACGACTCCAAGTACGTGCCTCGTAGAGCTCCGCTCCTCGGCATTCCTCGGAGTGAAACCCCACTCGAAAAGTGGAGCGACCATCGAGTCATTTTCGAATTCGAGTGACTTTTCGCTCGTACGTGGAATGAATTCTTCGCTCCGAATCGTCGGGTGAATGTCCTCGCTAGGAATTTCAGCGGTGAATCTGACCTATAGTCGATGTCACGTGTATTATACCATTCTCTGAGTCAAATATTAGATAGTTTTCAGCGTTGTAAAGTATCATTATAATCTTATCATTATAATTAGAGATCACTCACGCGATTCTCAACTTATGGGTTATGTACAACAATAATTAATACAATAATAATAATTGTGCATAATCCATAAGATTGAAAATCATGTAACAGGAACACGTCAACCCCGATCTATTGAAACATTCGCTCGCACGAAGTCTCCGCTCTAAGCTTTAGTGAAGCGTACTCACTCTTACGATTTCGAGCAGCGGTATTTTCACCTCGAGCGAAGATGCCGCCACTTTTTCATTCATTTTGAGTGCGAGATTCCATTCCGAGAAATTTCAAGGATAGAAAACGAGAACGTGGCGTCGTGGCCGTTGCATCGATGAATACGATACCGCGTCTCGGTTTCCCTCAGCGGCTGCGTTCTTCTTGCAGATGGCTGAACGACCCGCAGTTCGTCGGCAGCTTCGAGACGGAGGATTACGTGTACTTTCTATTTCGCGAGACCGCCGTGGAATACATCAACTGCGGCAAGGTAAGAAGAGATCGATACCGTATAGTAATCCGCCGTGACGCGCTCTCGCGTCCTCCATCATCCGGGATACGCGCGCGCGATTGGCGATCTCGTCAGCCGTATAATTAGCCGCTTACGGTGTCGGTCGAAACGAGCGACGCGTCGAGGATTTTCCTCGCGGCGGAAAAATATCATCTCCGACGTGATCTCGGTTCTCGCGCGCGCGCGCGCGATGTTTATCATTTTCTCAGCCTATCGCCGACTCAAATTGCCGCCTAGGGTTAGCTTTAATGAAAGATTCTGCATCCGGCCGCGATCGCACCTCGATCGACGATGAAGCGCGAGGAGTCGAGCGCGCTCGGCTTCCCCCCGACGCGATAGATTAATTTACCATCCAGCGACGCGCTCGATGCGGTGATTTACGAGAAGGAGCGCGCGAACACGTGGAAGTTACGTCTCCGAGAGGGGACTTCCTCCCGTCGATTTTAACCCGACACACCCGGGCCCGACTTTTGCACCGTCGCCTATCGTCTCGGCCGTTGTAGCGCCTCGGCGCCGAGACGACGTGTGTAATCATGCATCGCGCTTGCAGAGAATATACTCGAGGATAGCGAGGGTCTGCAAGCATGACCGCGGTGGACAGATCATGATGAAGGAGGCATGGACGACGTTCAGGAAGGCCCGTTTGAATTGCTCGATACCCGGCGAATTCCCGTTCTATTACGACGAGATCCAAGGCGCGGTCTATCATCCGGAGGAGGGGGTCATCTACGCGACCTTCACGACTCCCATGTGAGTACTCCCCGTTCTCGCGGATTCGGACGCATTCGCCGGCGCATTAATTATCGTCTTTGTGTCTTTATGCCTGTCTCTATGTCTGCACAACACCACAGGGGGATACGAGAGACGGTAAATGCCACGTTGTTTATACGATCCGCCGGTCTGTCTGTCATGTCGATGATCGTTCTCATCACCCTCGATCGCGTTATCGATCGTAATTTGCCACGCGTTTCGCGTACACGGAAAGAGGATGCTCGGTTTCCGCGACTGAACAGGGACCAAACGAATACTCGGTTGAAGAACATGAGGAATGATATATCCTGTAACCGTGACTGAGCACATACGTGTGAACGTATCTTTAGATCTATGATGAAATTCGGTTGAGACGACTGAGAGCAATTGACTTCAGAAGTCTCCTACAGGGCAAAGCTTCCCGATCGGAACCTTTCAGTTATTCCCTGGAGTTCTATTGTGTTTTCTAGGAAAAACGGAACTATCCCGACCGGGATCCGTTCCTAACAGTTCCGCGATAGGCGCCCGCGGCTATCGATAATGTCATTTTCCCCTATACGGAAAAAGAGAATTCAGTTCCCGCGACAGAATAGGGACCGGATGAAAAACTCAACGACAGGAGACGACCGAAAACAATCGACCGAGCAGAAACTTCCCACAGATATCTTTCCGTTTTTCGCAATCCAATTTTCATCCTGCTCCTCGGGCAACGGAAAATTCAGTTACAACAACGGAACGGAATTTTCCCCGTGCAGCACGGAAGCGTGAAAAGTGAAAATTCCGAATGTTTCCAAATTTGTCAACGAGTTCATAAGTTCACGTCAGAAGAGAAAATTCATTACCAATTCCCGAGGGGGGGAGGGGGGGGG